GCCTCGAGCAGCGATGCCCCCGTGACAGAATTTTGAAATTGACCGAAAAAAGTTTTTAATATCGATTTTAGATTTTTTTGGGTATTTTTAGGTACCTGAAGTGTATTTTAATCTCTGCAGGAAAATTCAGGAAACTTGGGGACCACCAGTAGGCGCAGCTAAAAGTTTGGTATTTCGAATATCGATTCAGATAAGAATCCCTCACCTCATTCCCTATTATGGAATTGAAGCTTAATAATTAGTAATATGGTATTTTGTGTAATCTAAAAATTTTTAAGAATAATTACAGGTTATCAATAGATATGAAAACTGATTGGTTATTTAATTGTTGTCATATTTAACTGATTATTGAATTTATAGCTTTAAATATATGATGATATACTAGAATGATTAATTTATTCAATCGTGCTTCCTTGATATATATATTGCTTGTCTTGGGTGATTTACGATTAATCTATGAAATTGATAATTAATATGCAAATGGAAAATTGATTGGTCATATGAATTAATAAATGGTAGCCTTACTGGATATCCTAAAAATGGTGGATAGACCGGGTACATAAGGAACCCTATCGTGAACATTGCCTCATACCAGACGGGGTATCGAAGTACTACCCCACCCATGACTTAGAACTTATCGCGATTATCCACGCCTTGAAGACTTGGCGCCATTACTTATATGGAGAGACTTTTCAGATCTATACCGACCATAAGAGATTGAAATACATATTCACTCAAAAGGATCTCAACATGCATCAGAGACGATGGATAGAACTCCTCAATGACTATGATTACAACATCTTATATCACCCGGACAAAGGCAACGTGGTAGCCGACGTACTCAGCAAAAAACGTACAGGTATACTAGCTCACCTAATTGTTTTAGAATGCAGGGTAATAGGGGGCCGCACAACAAGTACAACTTCAGAACTTGAAGAGAGTTACATGTTTGGTCCACCTGACTGTTCAACTTGAGTTGATTTAGAGAATAAAGGAAGCTCAATCCGCCGATTCCACCCTAGCAGCTCTCAGGAAAGATGCAGAACAGGGAGTAAATTCAGAATTTCGAGTCTCTACGATGGGTTGCTTAGATTTCAGGACAGGGTATATGTTTCATGTGACAGTGAGCTAAAAAGGACATCATGATAAAGGCTCATAACTCAAAGTTTGTTATGCATCCCGAAAGCACTAAGATGTATGAAAGTATGCGACTCTGATTTTGGTGGAACGGGATGAAAAGAGAGGTGGTCGACTTTGTTTTCAAGTGTCTAGTGTGTCAGCAAGTCAATGCAAAGCATCAATGCTCAGGCGGGCTACTTCAGCCGTTACCAATTTTGAAGTGAAAGTGGAAACACATCACAATAAATTTCGTGACATGATTGCCTAGGGCACGCTCGTGACATGATGTCATTTGGGTAATTGTTAACCGATCATTATTTGTTTAGGTCAATGGCATTAGCGAATATGAGCCATTCATCTCGATTGATCTCGTCTGTCCGATCACGCCTAAGGATAGAATGCATCTGAGTCATTCATCCGCGCGGGATCGAATCTGGGTCGTTGGATCGCTACGCACGTGGATCACCCGCGTGGCACCGACATCAACGTGTTTTACCACGCGACATGCTCTGATTTGTCAGGACTGTTGATTGGGTCGTCCCATGTTGTCGAATTTTTTTTTTTTTTGCATTTTGACTTCCGTTTTTAATTTTTCTTTTAAAAACACATATCAAACTCAAATTTTCACTATTTTTTTTTAAATTACTTTTAATTATGTCCCTAACATATTTTTCTCAAATAATTTAATAAAATTTAATTAAAATAATTTTTTAATTATTTTTATAAATACTAAAATTGATTACGGACTAAATTTTGAATCCGAATATTATAACCAAAATATAATACGTATCCAACTTAGATTCACATAGCACTACCATAAATAATATTAGTAGGCATCAACAACGAGAGATCAAATCAAAAAA